CCATATGGGATCCCGGGCATGCAAGGTGAGGACTTTAACCACTGCGCCATTGTGCCGGGCCACATGTGGAAAAGAATCTTAAATACCTAGGAATTAATCTAACAAAATATGTGCAAGATCTCTATGATAAAAACTATAAAACACTAAAAAAAGAAATAGAAGAAGATATTAAAAGATGGAGAAACTTTCCATGTTCCTGGATTGGCAGGATCAACATCATCAAAATGTCCATATCACTAAAACTAATATACAGATTCAATGCAATCCCAATCAAAATCCCAACATTGTTCTTCTCAGAAATAGAAGAGAAGATGCAAAAATTCATCTGGAAACACAAGAGACCACGAATAACCAAAGCTATTCTGAAGAATAAAAATCAAGCTGGAGGAATTACAATTCCAGACCTCAAGACACACTACAGAGCAATGGTCATCAAAACAGTCTGGTACTGGTACAGAAACAGAGAAGATCAATGAGACAGAATAGAAACACCAGAAGGCAGCCCACCCATGTATAGCTAACTACTCTTTGACAAGAAAACTGAAACCGATTCAGTGAAAAAGGGTGGTCTCTTCAACAAATGCTGTTGGGACAATTGAATAGCAGCCTGCAGAGGTAAGAAGCAAGACCTGTCACTTTATACAAAAATCAGCTCTAAGTGGATCAAGGACCCAAATCTGCACCCAGAAACCATCCAACTTCAAAGGAAAACATAGGAAGTACTCTAAGATATAGGACTGGGGAAAGACTTCTTGAAAATGATGGCAAAAGCACTGGTAGTCAAAGCCAACATAAACAAATGGGACTGCACCAAACTGAAAAGCTTCTCTATAACAAAGGAAATGATCAGCAAAGTGAAGAAGCAACCAACGGAATGGGAGAAAATCTTTGCATACTACACATCTGATAGTGGACTAATATCCAGGCTTTCAAAGGTCGTTAGAAACCCAGTGACAGTAAAAACAACCCTGTGAAGAAACGGGCAAAGGAAATGAACAGACATTTTCCTAAAGAACAGATTCACATGACTAACAGACAAATGAAAAGATGCTCGGGCTCCCTAGCCGTCAGGGAGATACAAATGAAAACCACGTTGAGATTCCTCCTAACTCCATTGAGGCTGGCATGGTTGTGGGGAGAATGGTACCCTCCTCCACTGTTGGTGGGAGTGTAGGCTAGTACAACCACTATGGAAATCAGTATGGAGAGTGCTTAGAAAACTGCAAATAAGTCTTCCATATGACCCAGCTATCCTGCTCCTAGGAATATATCCAAAGGAAATGAAAACTGCATATGAGAAGGGGATCTATAATCTTCTATTTACAGCAGCACAATCTATAATAGCAAAGACATGGAAACAACCCAGACGCCCATCCATAGAGGAGTGGTTAAAGAAACCATGATACCTCTACTCCAAGGAATATTAATTAGCCATTAAAAGTATGAAATTCCACCATTTGCAACTAAATGGTCCCAACTAGAGACCATTATGTTCAGTGAAATAAGTCAATCCCAAAAGGACAAATACCGTACATTCTCTCTGATATAAGACAACCTTCATGCAAAATAGAAGATCAGTAATCCTTTCAATACTGTTTTTGCTGCAGTTTATGGGTTTTTGTTTTTACTTTTGTTTCTTTTTTTTTATTTTTTAAGATTTTATTTTTATTACAAAGTCAGATATACAGAGAGGAGGAGAGACAGAGAGGAAGATCTTCTGTTCGGTGATTCACTCAAGTGACTGCAACAGCCGATACTGTGCCGATCCGAAGCCCCCCATATGGGATCCTGGCACGTTCAAGGCAAGGACTTTAGCTGCTAGGCCACACCGCCGGGCCATTACTTTTATTTCCTAAAAATTGTTTCTTTTCTAATTAAATTCTTCATTGATTCATAGATACAGTAGCATTATTTTCTCCAAGAAAATTTTTGTTTTCTGTCTTATTTCTTCATCGACACAGTGGTTTTTCAGTAGCACGTTATTTAACTCCATACTGTTGTAACTTTTTTTTAAAAGATTTATTTTTATTATTATTTTTTTTATTGGAAAGGCGGATATACAGAGAGGAGAGACAGAGAGGAAGATCTTCCATCCGATGATTCACTCCCCAAGTGAGCGCAACAGCCGATACTATGCCGATCTGAAGCCAGGAGCCTCTTCCGGGTCTCCCACACGGGTGCAGGGTCCCAAAGCTTTGGTCTGTCCTCGACTGCTTTCCCAGGCCACAGGCAGGGAGCTGGAAGGGAAGCAGGGCTGCCGGGATAGAACCCGTGCCCATATGGGATCCCGGGCGTGCAAGGCGAGGACCTTAACCGCTGTGACACCGCTCCAGGCCCCTGTTGTAAATTTTTAAACTTTAATCCTTTTGTTGATTTTGTTTTATGGCTTTTCATTTAAGGGGATGTATAGTAGCTGAATAATAAAAATTACATGTGTCAACTTTGAAAATCAGATTTTCTTCAGAATCTGTTCTTGCTCTTTATTGTTGAGTGACTTTCTAAACTAAGTATGTAGTGCATATTGGTTTTTTTTGAAAGATTTATTTTACTTGAAACAGTTACAGAGAGGGAGAGGAAGAGCAAAATCTCAGGAAAAAATTTTTTTGTCTGCTGGTCACTCCCCAAATGACTGCAACACAACCAGAGTTGAGCTAGTCAGCAGCAGGGAGCCAGTAGCTTCTTCCAGGTCCCCATGTGGGAGCAGAGGCCCAAGCACCTGAGCCATCCTCTACTACTTTCTCAGCACATAAGCAGAGAGGTGTATTGGAAGTGGAGAAGTCAGGATTAGAACCGACGTACATCTGGGACACCAGCAGAGGATTAACTTGCTCTGCCACTGCACTGGCCCCATCCACAGTCTTTTTCATGTGTAGTTGCTGAAGTTTCTGTTTGGCTCTGTTGTCAACTAAGCTGTGCTTGATGCTTTTCTTCAGCTTCTGACTCCAGCTTCCTAGATTAGACCATGCTTTTCTTAAATGCTTGAGGCTCTAATCCTCAGTCTTTGTTAGAGGGCTTTCCAAAGTGTATGATGGGGCATGTCCAGTGCCTCAACGGAGTTTGCAACACCACCTTAAGCCTTCAGTCCCTGCTTGCATAGAGCCCCAAGGTAAGCGAGAGGTGAGAGTTTAGGAGCTTCTTTGTTTTCCAGAGTATTCCCAAGTCTTTGAGCATGTGGGTGGCCGTCTGGGTTCCAGTGATGTGCTGGAACTTTTTTGAAGTTCCTTATGGACAACTTGTTCACCAGTATTGACTTTTGTGGCATGGTTTTCCCAAAATGATACGCACTGCCTGAAGCGCCCCCTAAATGGGTGCAGACATTTGCTTCTGATTTTTTGACAGATGCCCGCAGGGAGAGAGCTGTTTGTGCTGGGTGAGCATCCGGGCAGGTGGAGTGAAGATAGTCTTCTGCATCCCATTGCCCCGCACATGTGTGAGAGTGGGTCTGGAGGAACTACATCCCTCTCCTGCCTGTTCTGTGCCTTCCAGGCTGCTGGAAGGCTGTGAGTTCAGACTGTGGGTTTTCAATGTGCAGACCTGTGAAAGGAGGAATGAGAATGAAACAGGTTAAAGTGTTACCTGCTCACTGTTCTTACCAAATTTGAGCTGTTTCCCCTTTTAAAACTAATTATCTTGAGAGATGTAGAAACACAGAGAGAGAAAGCTTCTTCCATTTGCTGGTTCACTGCCAGATGCCCACAGTGCAGGACTGGGCTGAGCCCAAGCTGGGAGCTGCCAATTCAGTCCAGATCTCTCACCTCAGTGGAAGGGACCCAGGTGCCTGGACTGTCACCATCACCTCCCAGGGTGTGCCTTAGCAGGAAGCTGGGGTCAGAGGCTGGCAAGCTCCACAGTTAGAACTTGGATACAGGACGTGTCCTCATTAATTTCCTGAAGTCTAGACCAAATGCCCTCCCTGAGTTGTGTTCTTGAATAAATGATTCCCAGATTTTTAAAGCCGACTTAATTTGCAGAGATCGGAATTTCACCATTCCCTCTGGCATGGCTCTTCATTTTGTTGTTCACTTTGAAGTTGTTTGTTTGGGAATTGAGGGGCCAGACTATTTGGAGAGAAGTGAGTGTGTGATATGTGGCCCTTTAACATTTGGGCCTCAGAGGTTCACCTGCAAAGGAAGGATGCAAATGTGTGTTTCCATCTGTTCCGTGTGCTGTAGGAATTGCATGATTTCATGTCTGGAAATTTGTAGGTCCTTCTAGAGGAAGAGTGTTCATTTCCTGAAGGCTTTATGATTGTTCCTGGTCTCCCTTCCCGCTGTATGTCTGTGATCAACCCACCAGACTGTCATTTCTTTGTGTCTCCGCAAGTCAGTGCCCATTCTCCTCGTTGACGTACCAGTATATTCAAATTGATTGACGTTTCTTACAAATTGTTTGAAGATGTTCAGGAAACACTGATGCTATTATTTAAAATTTTACTAGAAATTAGTAGATATGGTACAATATATTTTAGTGCCATCCTGGAAGTGGGTACTGAAATTTTTCATATTACAAATTGCTCTGGAAATAGTTTTAAAATCTTTATTTGGTTCTTGTATGCCTCCACCCCTTTGGTGTGGATTTTGTTTTGTTTTGGTTAACTATGTCCCTAGCTCCGTTGAATTTGAACTGTCCTGTGGAGAGCTTTTAGAATGTGTAGCTTTCTAAGGGGAGACGGTTGTTTATTGTAAATTGTACACAACACAAAATTATCATTTTAAGCATTTTATGTTCATTTGTGTTCATCACATTTATTGTTGTGATGCATGCATTTATCTTCAAAAAAATGCAAGAGCCAAAGTTTCTTGAAAGTATATGCTATGTAAGCCACCATTGTTACCAAAATTCTGTACTGTCTATACTGTACATTTTCATTCATTCATTCATTATATGGCAAACTATGAGTTTTGTAAGACATGTTAGGTATTAACTTTTATCTCCTACTATTTTTAAAAACAACCTTGTCTGCTACACTGTGTGTTTAACGCACATCTCTTGTGCTGCAGGTTGCACTACAGGCTGGAATTAATTTGGGGACTGCCATGTCAAGAGGGTTGTATCAACCAGCAACAATCTTTATGGGCCGCCAAATGTCAGCCATTTCAAGCCTTGCCGACTTCAGCAGAGAGCAGAAATCTCCCCAGCCCACAAAGAATTTTTCAATTCCTGACCCACATTCACTTTCACAGACAGCCCAGAGCAGGGATGTGACAGACAGCTGTGTAGTACAAACCCACAGTGACACACAGTGCTTAAAGAAGTCTGACAACACAGATGGGAAGACATCTCTTCAGACGGGACGGAGAACGCCCGTCACAGGCAGCGTATTGTCTGAGGAGGAACAGACTCATTGCTTGGAGATAGGAGGCAACCCACGTCTCAGTGAGAATCATTTATCTGTAGGCAAAAAGTGTGCTCAACTCCATTCCCTGTTCCAGGAAAGATTAAGTCCAGAGAACAGAACCGATGATTTCAAGTGTGACAGTTGCAGCAGATCAGAGGAATCAGAGGGAGGAGTACTGACACAGGAACGTATTGAAGTTGAGGAAGCGAGAGCCAGCCCGCCAGTCTTGCCTGTGTCAGTCCCAGAACACTGTGCGGCTGATAGTCGCGCCCGGGAGGAGCATCCTGCCAGGCGAGCTTCCTCAGGTGGGAGGAGATGCTGTGTTGCTGATTTCTGAAGGGGGTTAGTTTTTCTATGAGACAGAAATTTTATGTAAGGATAAAATATAGTCTGTAATTTTATTGCTGTCAGAGGACAAAATGGCGACATTGTAAATTCCATTCTCGTGGGTTCTTAAATATGAATGAAAACATTTCTTTGTAAGGAGATTCTCCACTTTTCAGCCTACTATAATATTTTATTTCCATTTTAGTATATGTGCTGCCAAAGTGAGCACATCCTACTTTGATATTTTAATGATACTATAGGGGTGGACATTTGGTCAGCTGGTAGGTAAGGGACTGTCTGGGCCACCCTACGTCCCACCTCAGAGTGCCGGGTTCAAGTCCTGCCTCTGCTTCCCAAGCAGATTCCTGCTGACTGAAACTCACGAGCAGGTGCTAGCCAAGGTACTTGGCTCTCTGCCACCCACTCAGTTTGGGTTCTAGGCTTCTGGCTTCAGCCTGGCCCAGCACTTGCTCTTGTGGGCGTTTGGAGAGTGGGTCAGCAGACGAAAGATGTCTCTCTCTGTCCCTCTGCTTTTCAAACAAACCAATTTTTAAAAATATGCACCAATTTCAGAGTATTTTAGAGTTCTTCCATGCTGTAATTAGTTGTGGATTGTTTCTGCCTGGTGGTAATTAGTGTTTCTTTGCATCTCCCTGAGGTTAGCGTTCACTGATGTATTCCGTCCCCTCTTCAGGTCTTCATTCCCAGGGGGAGCTAGAATCACAAAGCCCCTTCCAAGGGGTGCAAGACGAGGAGGAGGAAAGCTTGAGCAGCAGCAGTGACCTCACAGTTTCTGTGAGTGAAGATGATTTCATTTTGAAGAGTCCAGAACCACAGCCAAATCCAGGTGACAAGATGGAGGGAGAAGATGAAATAGAGACCTTAAAATTAATCCACACAAAGCAGAAAAGAGAAGCCCTGCCCACTGAAGAAGATAAATGTGCTGTACAAACTGTAAGCTCTCCAGGTTCAGAAAAGGAATTCTCCACTAAGTCACCAACAAGAGAGTAAGCATTCAATTTTTGGTTTTATTATTTGGCTTTTAATTGTAGATGATTTTAGAGACTGCCATTGAGAACAGATTAGTGAGTCCTCAGCCATGAGCAAGTGAGCTCCTTAGGTCTCATAAGTACTCATTTGGTTAGGATCTCATTTTCTTTCTCTTTTTTGTTTAACAAAGTAGCTTTAAAATATGAGAACACTATTATTACCAGAAAAAATATATAAATATATATTTATTTATATGATGATTGGTAGTTTATAATTTTATCGCATGTTTGGTTAATTTGTAAGTCATTCCTTCAATCCTCTACTTTCAAGCACATTAGAAAAAATTTGTTAAGAAATTTTGGTACCAGGTGACAGTTAACGAAGCAGTTACAACATATAGTTCATAGAACCTTACATATGATTTTTCACTGTTGGTTGAAAGTACTGGGTGGAAGAAAACTTGCAAAGTTTTTTACATATCTCATATGTAGAAAATTTGTAACGTTTATAAACTGTTTTTTTTGTTTGTTTTGTTTTGTTTGTTTTTTAATTAACACTGGTAGCATTAAATCTTAAGCTAGGGAAGAAGGAACCTGAAAATAGCCTGAGGTCGATGTCACCTTTTCTGAAAGAGCAAAGTAGGGCCAGGGGTGTCGTTGTGTCACACTGGGGCACCTTCTTCCAGCCTGCCTCCTTGACCAGAACTCCCGGGTTGCACTGTGGTGCTGCCTGTCTTTGATTCTGTCCTGGCAGCTGTTAAAAGACTACTGGGCATGCTTGTGTATGCTCTTTGAGAGCACCCTTATAGCTTTTAACACACTGCCTCTTATCATTCATTATCCACTTATCGTGAAAGTTTAATTTGTAGTCTGATTGACTGCAGATAGATGTTCAGGAAATGTTTAGTAAGAGCACATCCAAGTGTAAAGTATTTGCACTATGGGCAGTAAAACTGATGTGTAGAGGCAAGCCACGTGCTTTGTTTTGCTTTTTATGGTAATAATAGTGTTCTCATCAAGGAGGGATGGGTACTACATACTACATCATCAGAAACTATTACTGTAGATGGAATAAATCTGTTTTTGGCTTTTGCATCTGTAAGTTGATGCCAACAGATTGTACAACTTAGTGCATTGGTAGGCTGATTGCGGGGTGGGAATACATCCCGGGGACTCAGTGGTTTCTAAGACAGTTGAACATGTGTATAGAATTACTGCTCAAAATCTATGTACAAGACAAGAATGCTTTGTCTGCCATTTGAGTGACTGTTTTTATATGACCTTAAAGCTTGCTCCTTGGAATTTGGGAATATTATTTTCCAGTATTTACTGGAAAATATAGGCATTTGGGGATATTTTGTGTGTTTGTCTTAATTAAAAAGATACTCCCAGAATGAAAAGGTAGGTCAGCAGCAGTGGTTGTTTTCTGTGAATCTGTTACCAGATTTGAACCTGCTGCTGTTCCCTGTGGTCTCAAGAGCAGGTTGGAGGCAGTTTGTAGTGAAGCTGTCTAGGCTGTAAGATCTACCACCCTGTTGCTGTTACCCAATTCCTTGCCTGCCAAGAACTGAGCTGGACAGCATGTTTATTAGGCAGTGCCAATCCCAGCATTGAAAGTGGAGGAGTGGATGGCACAGTTGCAGGAAACAATCTGGTTTTCAGTGTAGTCCTGGGGCCTCTGCTACCTGCCTCCCCACCTTCTTGGTGTCCTCATGTTTGGCAGTGTTCTCCAGATAGCAGAACAGGGCCATGACTGACATTGGTATAGGTGCATAAGTCCATACCCATGAGTTTCCCAGTTGGCACCAGTAGATGTGGCATGATATCCTGGGCATCCCCTCAGCCAACACATCGAGGTTTCCCAAATGGTCCACCCACGGTCTCCTGGGTGGCAATGATGGCAGTGATGACTCCAGCCATCACTGTCTTATCTCAGGAAAGTGCAGATGCTGTACAAAAAGAGGCTGCCCTCTGTCCAATGAGAGGCAGAGTCCCCATGTGGTTGCTGTTTTAAATGGAGGCTCATTCCTGCATCTCAGATGAAAGAAGTCAGATAGCACCATGACTATGTGCCTAATTTCAAAAACTTTTCACAACAAAATAAACTTTCCACTGACTTTCTGAAATTTTCTTGTACACCCTCTACCTGCATGTCAGTCCTACTTTAAAAGAAACTGAGAGGCTCAAGGATGTATTTTCCCACTTTTCATCTTGCCCACCAGGATTTTTGTTAACCTGCAGGTGTTCGGTTTGGGATCCAGAGAGTTATCAGGGAAAATGGACAGAAAATAACCAGTCTCCTAAAACAATGCGTGCAGCCATCACTAATGGTTCTTGGCTATTAAAAACCCATGATGGGTTCAGGCTGGTTGTCTCCATTTAAAAGTGGAGGGAAAAACTTATTATAGATTCTCCCAGGCCTTTTTGTTCCTCATTAAGAAACTCAAAGAAAAGCACAACAGTGGTTTGGAAGGGAGGGTGGTTCTGAGAATTCAAATGGAACAGAATGATGAGGTCTGTTTGGAGGCCAAAGCAGGGGGAAAAGGCAAGGGTTTTGCTTGTGCAGCCTCTGGTACAATGAAGAGGACCTTAGCACAGACAGGCCGTACCCTACAAAATGTAGCCCATAATTCAAGCTGTCAGCTTAATCGCACTGTTTGCAGGTAAAGAGAAGGCGCCCTTGTTCCCTAGGCAAAGAGAAGGAGCCCTTGTTTGCTGACCCCTGGTCCGCAGCCTGCCGCAGACCGCCCTGCTCTGTTGGCCTTTGTGTCTCTGTCCCCTCCGTGGCTCCTTTTTAGCATTGTGCTCCCTTCAAGTGGCCCCCTGGAAGGGACCACCCAGAGGGCTGCACAATGGGGACCGAGGTAGCCACCAAAACATTGGTTTTGTAAGAGCCTGTTAAAAGAAAAATACTGTTTAACCATGTATGTGTTTGTCCTTTCTACAACTGTTTTGTGTGGCAAACAAAACCCCGTGTACAAACTTCACTGGGGCCTCACATCCAGCTGTTCCAGCCATCAGGTGTCAGGCTTGAGATAGTCACATTCAGTTTATTTTCCCAGGGCCCTAATTCTGGATGTGAATTGTATTTATATGCTTGGATTTATGGGGAGGAAATTTGGTATCAAAACCCTACAAATGGCACTGGCTTTTAAAACCTGTTTCATTAGTAGTCTTCAGAGTTGCCTGACTACTGGGCCTTGCTATCTGGTGGAATTATTCCATAATACTTCTCAACAAAAGCTAGCAGCCCAGAATTCAGTTCTCAATAACCATTTACACCTCTGTAAAAGGATTAGGTCTAGCCAATTGTTAGACTGCTTAAGTCTTAATTTGCATCCTTATGGTAGTAGAACTTCTGCTGGCCGCTTTGTAGTTTCCAGTGGCATCTGTGTACCTGTAGATGGGAGGCTGCTAGAGATTTTCTCTGATTGGTGGAGAAGTGCTTCATTGCCTCAGGAGGAGGGGAGCACCACACTCATTGGATTAGCCTGCGGGTTTGAGGTGCTAGTGTTTGCTGTGGTTCATTTGTCACAATTGTGATTCTTGTATGTCTGGTACATGGATATATTCTGCTACATCTGTTGAAACATAAGAAACTTCTTGAGTCTTCTGAAGGATGTGTTTGGTTGTTACCAAATTTCTTTGGCAATTTAATGTCCAGAAAAATCAAGAACTTATCAAAGTGATCATTTTAAAAGATCAGAAGCTTCCTGTGTCTTGTAGCCAGTGGATGAAATTGTCTGTTCCCAGTGTCTAGCTGGAACTCATTGTCAGAGTTTGAGATGCCCTGCCCTGGCCTGCAGTTGCTAGTGATGAGAGTGAGTGGCAGGGGAAGCTAGAAGGTCAGAGAGATGGTGGGCGGAGAAAGTGGTCATGATTCAACTATTTTGAATGGATGAAATTTCATGGCATGTAGAATGCTTGGTAGAAATGGAAACAAAGTTTGGAATATGTTAATCACTAGTTCCGTTGTTTTTCCATCCTTCATAATGCCTGTAGGGATTACCAGCTAGTAGGAATCAGTCATGTTCTACATGAAGTAAGGAGAGTTGCCAGAATGAGATATATAACTCGAAAAGACCTGTACATATAGTTCAAACATGTTCTGTGCAGTACCAGGCATAAAAAGTTAGACACAGCTATTTGTAAATAAATGCTTTTTAAAATGTTTTAATAAAGGCAGATTTACATTTACAGAGCAAAGGAGAAACAGAAAGATCTTCCCTTCACTGGGTCACTCCCCAAGTGGCTACAACACCCAGAGCTGGGCTGATCCAAAGCCAGGAGCCAGGAGATGATTCAAGGTCTCCCAGGCAGGTTCAGGGTCCCAGGACTTTGAGCCATTGCTGCTTTCCAAGGCCACAGGCAGGGAGGTGGGTGTGAATTAGAGCAGCTGGAGTATGACCAATGACCATGTGGGATTGAGATCCTAGCATTGGAAGCAGGCAAGGATTAACCAGTTGAGCCATTGCACTGCCCTCCCCACCCCCTGAGTGACTAAATCTATTAGTTCAACCTCAAAGCTAAAGAAATCATTGTGCCTTAAAAATTGAAATACCTGTGAAATAAAAAGTCTCTTCTATTTTGCTTTTATGTTTTGGTATCCTGAAAAAAGAAAAAAAAAGATTCGTATCCAGAAAAGCATTTTTAGTGCATGAGTTTGACCAACATTTTTTTTTGTTTCCCTGTTGCTTTTATTTATGATTTATTCATTTTCATTATAAAGGTAGATATACAAAGAGAAGGTGATACAGAGAGGAAGATTTTCCATCTGCTGGTCCACTTCCCCAAGTGGCCAAAATGTCCAGAGCCGGGGGTTTCTTCCTTGTCTCTCATGCAGGTGCAGGGTCCTAAGGCCTGGTGTCTGGAAGGTGGGACAATAGCAAGCCAGTGTGCAGGATCCAAAGCAGAGTGTCACCCACAAAGGCTACAAGTGGACATGTTGGGACTTGCCAGGGAGTTGGAGCCAGTGGATTCATTTCTCTTTGCTGCTTCCTCATGGGTGCAGGCCACGT